TTTGCCAATCTTCGATTTTGCTTTACTCTTGCAGAGAAAATAAACACTGTTAGGAATTTTCAATATTTTGTTTATCAAATGTATGAAACTTTCGTTTTTTTCTCAAACTGCTATTTTATTTACCTTATACTGTTTTTTAAGGAAAGGTCGACTCGATTTAGGGTTAAGAAAAATATATTGTTTTGATTAAACTTTAAGTCTGCATATTCTGTTGTTTTTGGCGAATTAATAGGCCATCTGATTTTAGACATTATTGATTAATTAAAATACAGTTATCTCAATATTTAAAAAAATATTTTTTTTTTCGAAAAATACCCAAGGCCCTTAATTTTTTGAAAAAAAATTGTATGATACATTTTCATGTTTTTCTATGGAAAATTTATATTCGAAATGGGCTTTTTAAAAATATAATTTTTTCTTCAAAAGTCGCTGCTGTTAAGTGTTTATGTATCAAATATCCACTAAAGTCGGCATTTAAGAAATCGTTTGTTTTCGGGAAAATACTTATATATGAATATAGCAGGTGAATTTTGAAATATTGGATTATTATATTCACAACAAAGTGTGTGGACAGCATTTTCTATGTTAGTGAAGTTGTGTAGGTTTTTACATGTTCAGCGAAAAATAATTCGAGTTTTTATTTTTACTTCATTTATTTTTAGCATACTCGGCTAAGAAAATTTGGAAAAAGAATTCAGTTCCAACACCATAAATTTAGCCTTGCTCTATAATATTTAATTTGGATGCGAGGGATAACTATCATAAAGAAAAATATAAACAAAACATAAATCTCCGAGACAACCGAAACTTGTACGCATTCACAGAAATTATACTTCAGGTAATACAGATTATATTGCTATGAAATCAAGAATACTAAATATTACCAAACAATTCTCTGAATAGTACTTATAAATCTAGAGATTAGCGATATATCTGTCTGTATTGTTTATTTGTGGCAGTCAATTTTTACTGTACTAGTTTTATGTTTCCGTGGGTGCTATGATTGGCTTGTATGCATTCCTAAATATTAGCTTGACCAATTGTTGAGAAAATTTTGTAACAACATAGGAGTTATAATTAGAAGAATTGATTACAAGCATGTGACGTGAGATCTTGTCAATGCGAAAGGGACAGTACTGTATACTGTAGATAGGCCTTTACACTGTGTTACGACAGCGGAAGTCACGTGACGCTGCTGGCGCATTGGTGCTGGTGGCGTGTGCGAGGAGTTTCTCGAATGATCATGAATTTTCTAGTTTGTTCCGAACGCTCTCTTGTTTTTTAGTATATAAGTCTGGCAGAGAAAGCCTGCAGGGATGAATGAAGAGAGTTCCGGGTAACTTACGATTCTGTTTCGAGCTAGTGTGTGTTTTGTTATCGAGATTGTGAATTGCTGTGATTCGTGTATTATATGATATGCTACCATTAGTCGATGATCCAGTTGTTACGTATCTGCTTGTTTGATAATTTCCGGTAGAAATTTTTTCCGAGAAACTTGAGCTATACAAGTCCTTTCTTGATTAAACCTGTTTGTTTTTTTCTACATACAGACTTTTAGTACACAGTAATTTTACGCATTGCTGCCATCTATTGGTGTAAATAAGTAATAGATAGCTCCGAAGGAAATGTAAACCAGGGTCACTTGGAATTCGTTTTAGGTGCCGTTTGGTCATATTGCGCTTGTAATAAGAACCCACCTATTCGATAGTTCACAGCTGCATATAAAATAAAAATAGCATGAAACATTAATTTTGCATGTCACATGACACCTCCTAGTGGTTCTGCAGATGTGTTAGATACGCAAGTTAGACCTTGAAGTGCATGAGCCCACATAGGATAACTATCAGGAAGCAGCTGTAGGATACATGGCTGGTTATGATGGCACAAAAAAAGAATGCAGTGTAACACATTGTTTGGAGATCTTGACAGATACAAATTCTAGAAAGTTTTCGATTTTATAACAAAGAAAGAATATATTTGGTTTGGTAAAGACACCAGCTAGTATAATAAACGGTGTCAGGCAACATAAAATTGTTTCATTGTTGTTTTGAAAGGAATGGTTGTGAATGAAGGTTTCTCTGACTTTGGTCACATGTTTGATTATACACGAGAAGATAACAGTGTTTACAGTTTGATAAAGTGTTTATATATGTGTTATATATAAATAGAAATGTATCACCTTGCTAAACATCAACCTGCAAAAGTTGCAGTGGAAAACTAATGTGAAAAAAAAGAGGATCTGTTCAACGACATACTATACCTAGATCTTACCACAGTTTTTGAAATAGAGGTTATTTTCAACAACATATTATACCTAGATCTTACTAGTTTTTCAAATAGAGGATCTATTCAACGGCATACTATACCTAAATCTTACCAGTTTTTCAAATAGAGGATCTGTTCAACGACATACTATACCTAGATCTTACCACAGTTTTTGAAATAGAGGTTATTTTCAACGACATATTATACCTAGATCTTACCATAGTTTTTCAAATAGAGAATCTGTTCAACGACATACTATACTTAGATCTTACCACAGTTTTTCAAATACAGGTTATTTTCAACGACATATTATACCTAAATCTTACCACAGTTTTGAAATAGAGGTATTGTTCAACTGGACATTTTTGGAAAAGATGAATTCATTGTTTCAATTGATAATTTGCTTTCACCCAACACTAACGTACCTTATAATAATTGTAATATAAAAAATAGTTCAAAAGATATGCATTACATTTAGCCCTGAAAAGATTCGCATATTTACAGGAAAATTGACCCGAATTTATCTTTAAATTAGTTTTAGGACTTTTGTTTTAGTTTTTGTTCTTTCTGTAATCTCACGATATAGTCCACATGTGAATCTAAAAATTAATTTTGTTTGAATTTCTTCATTGTGTTGTAATTAGGCAGGATTTTTGTAATTTTTGGGTAATAGTACTCAATCCAAAGGTAGCTTCTAAAAAGAAGTCCGCAAGTAATCAAAAGTCCGAAGGACTGAGTTGGTAAGAACGAAGTGATTGTGACGAACTGCAGTCCAAACCGGATGTAGAACATTGAACACAAACGCCCCTCAATGGCTTAGCAGTAAGTCTGAGAACTGTTGAAGCTAAAAACCAGGGTTTCGATACCCGAGGTGGGCAGAACACATAGTCTATTGTGTAGTTGTGTTTAACAACAAACAAACATCAAACACAACTTAACGTCGCGCTTCCAGATGTGGAATATACGCTAGGTAGTATGAAATGAAAGTACAGTTAAGTGATAAATAACCGATTAAAACTAATAACGGAAACAAAGTTAATTGTTCAAATATAAGGAAATATAAACAATGGTTTTGCTGGATTTGAAAGACGAGAACAGATGTACAGAAATACGTTTTCGTTGAGGTGGGGCCAAAATGAAAAGAAACGGAGTCAGGCGCCGAAAAACAAAAACGGCACACCATCTTCATGGAAACGGGGGCTGAAGATACGATAGAAAACAGTTCTAGGAATGTGATAAAACTACGGGGGCTGAAGGTATGATAGAAAACACAGTTCTAGAAATGTGATAAAATTACGGGGGCTGAAGGTATGATAAAAAACAGTTCTAGAAATGTGATAAAATTACGGGGGTTGAAGGTATGATAGAAAACACAGTTCTTGGAATGTGATAAAACTACGGGGGTTGAAAGTATGATAAAAAAACACAGTTCTAGGAATGTAATAAAACTTCGGGGGTTGAAGGTATGATAGAAAACACAGTTCTAGGAATGTAATAAAACTACGGGGGCTGAAGGTATGATAAAAAACAGTACTAGAAATGTGATAAAATTACGGGGGTTGAAGGTATGATAAAAAACAGTTCTAGGAATGTAATAAAACTTCGGGGGTTGAAGGTATGATAGAAAACACAGTTCTAGGAATGTAATAAAACTACGGGGTTGAAGGTATGATAGAAAACAGTTCTAGGAATGTGATAAAACTACGGGGTTGAAGGTATGATAGAAAACACAGTTCTAGAAATGTGATAAAACTACGGGGGTTGAAGGTATGACAGAAAACAGTTCTAGGAATATGATAAAACTACGGGGGTTGAAGGTATGATAGAAAACAGTTCTAGGAATTTGATAAAACTACGGGGGTTGAAGGTATGATAGAAAACAGTTCTACGTCCTAATCAAAGACATCGAATTCGTAAATATTAAAACCAAGATGGCAAGTTTTATTTTAGTAATAATGTAATTTGATTTTATAGGAAAGTAAAAAAATAAACAAATAATACTAAACTTTTTTTTTTTTGCACAGACAGAATTTCCCCAAAATAACTTAATTCCAAAATTCTTATGAGCATTGTACTAGAAGTGAGTTGCTAATGTGATCTTCAGAATGTACGTCGTCGTTAGTTTTAAAGCTACACACACAATGGTCTATCAGCGAATCTGTCTACCACGAAGAATAACACTGGATTTTAAGTTAAGTCCATAAATGTACTGCTGAGCCACCGGTAAAGGTGGGAGGAGAAATGTCTGTTTTTTTATTACGTGGACCCTTTTGGAGGTGTGTGTTGTGTTGTTTTTAATTATGCATAAAGCCACATAAGGACTATCTGTGCTCTGCCCACCACGGGTATCGAAACCCGGTTTCTAGCGTTGTAAGTCTGCAGACATACCGCTGTGCCACTGGGGGGACCTTTTGGAGGTTAACACCAAATTACTTTTCCTGGTACTTATTCAAATATTCTTATTATTTCTGGTTTTTCTGCAATTTGTATAAACTTCAATTGTATATTGCATTATAGGTTACAAAATCGGTTTTATTATTAAGGTAAACTATTTCTTTTTATAGTTTTACATAGAATAAAGATGTTTCGGTTCAACATAAATGTGTTAAAGATGTAAAAGGTAACCACGGTCTCAATATTTTCATGTATTAAATGTTAAAGTACGTATTATACGTGTTGTTTTAGAATATTTTACTTGCCGAGTTTAGACATTTCATCACCAAAACACTCATGTTTAATTCCCGTGAACATTATATCTCAAGAATTAGGCTTGAAAGACACGAATTCAAAATAAATAACAGCAAATCTTGACACAATATCAAAATTGTTACTTCTAACCATTATCGGAGCGCTATCTAGAAATTAGATTTATCGAAGTCTCATTTTAACATTGTCTTACACTCGGATAAAACCCTTATTCATGTCCCAGCGGATACAGTTAGCATCAGTGACCCACCATTTGTAAAGGTCGTTATGCGAGGAGGTTGGTTGACCTGGGTTGTGCAAGCGGTCACATAAATGACACATCCAAGGATAAAGGTACACTTGGAACGTTTCTTTCCATTTGAAGTACGATGCGTATAAAGTCTCATTAGATCCCACTTTCGCGAGAAAAGCTGCAAGGTCTTTAGGGTTAGGGAACTGAGTAGCATCGATATAAGACTTGGGTGGAGCTATTCCAGCATAATCGGCGCCACCAAACGTGACAGGTATAATATCATAGCCCAAAACGTTGAAAAATTTCTCGGTGACGTAATCTTTACATATAGAATTTTCGAAAGACAGGTAAAATTTGTATTCTTTAGTAAGAGATTCGTAACAAGTTGCTGACTGAGAAGGGAAACACGTTTTGGTCCCACATGAGCCATAAACATCAATATCAATGTATCGCGCCAACTCCTTTACATAGTCCTCTCTACGACTGTTAGTACTGCAGTCACTGACTAGCCAGAGGATGGATTTCTTCTTCTCAGAAAAGTGAGGAGTGTTCAATAATTTTGTTGTCCGAGATCCCAGAAATCCATATTTTACCGGGACGTCGGAGTCTTCTCGATAACTCAATGTCCAATTGAATATGCCTTTCAGTCGGTTCCAGGAAACATGGACTAGCCATGGAGCTTCCATCACATAGATCATCCAAATTTGTTGGGGGTGGCGACTGGTTGGAAAGTCGTTTTCTTTCAGGTCTAAGAGGTGGAAGAGAATAGCATCAGCTTCGTGCAGGCGTGACCGGTCACGGGTGGTGGTACAAAGTTGATTGGGACAATGGTAACTCACAAAAGACTCGTTTCCAGGCCTCAAAAAGTAATAATTCACGGTATCCCATTGGTGGTTCCATGGTGTCCAAAGTAATATCAACTTGCTTCCATTACGGACCACGGGAAACGGATTGGAATAGTTTACAAAGCTTATCAGTCTGGGCTCGTATATTTGATGAAAGGCTAGCTTCCGTCCTTTCAGCGAGGGTGGTAAGGGCACGTGTGACACCGTGAGATTACCGTGAGTGGTACGAGATATGGAACCCCGAGGGAATACCTCTCTCGCAACTTGTGTCTTGTAGATTATACAGAAAGTAACCAGGAGGACTCCAGCCATCATAAGAACTGTTACAGTCTTCAGGTTTCTAAACGTATTCCAGGCCATCTAGAAAACAATAACAAAAAAAATATTGTTGGATATTTATAAATACAATACCCACTTTCTTTATTCATTGTTTACTTCATGCTCTGTTAGGTGGCAACACTACAAGTTTCATACATTCCAAAATGTTATAGAATATATTTTTACTTCATGCTCTGTTAGGTGGCAACACTACAAGTTTCATACATTCTAAAATGTTATTAGAATATATTTTTGTCTTCATGCTCTGTTAGGTGGCAACACTACAAGTTTCATACATTCTAAAATGTTATAGAATATATTTTTACTTCATGCTCTGTTAGGTGGCAACACTACAAGTTTCATACATTCTAAAATGTTACAGAATATATTCTTAATTTTGTTTTTCTTGGGTTATCTGCGCTGTACCAACCACGGGTATCGAAACCCGTTTTTTAGCATTATAAGCCCGCAGACTTGCCGCTCAGCTAGTGAGGGCATTTAATTTTTATTGCAATTATCTACTTGGGTTTTTCAACATTAATAATGTACAATAGGTGCTAGAATTCAATTTTTCTTAGTTTTCATTGTGTATTCACATGGAGTTTGCGAATGTGAGCGCAGCCACCTACATGCGGTTTTTAGAAATTGACCGCTGACTGTGCCCATTGTGGCACTCCAAGTATAACCCATGGCTTTAAGGTTCCAATACTAATGACACATTTCTCTTTCATGGGTATTAAACATTAGTTTGTTTGTTATGTACAAAACTATACAGTGGGCTATTTGTGTTGGAGCCACCACAGTTATCGACCCCCCCTTTTTTTAGCATTATAAGCCCCCTGACTATGGCCGCGTCATTGAGGGTATGTATCAAGGATGATAAATGTGATTGACAATTCAAAAGAACGAGCGAGTTGATTAAAATAATATGTGATCGATACCCTTGTATACTGTACTCCATACAACCGCTGCACAAAATTAAGCGTGTTAAATTTAAATGTATCACCTGCCCAACGTCACTACTTCAACTATCCAATCCTATACGAGCTGACTGAAATTACCCTAACTTTTCTTGACATACGTCGTCACTGCTATCCTCGCTGGTAGTAGGGCGACCTGGGAAATACTTTTTTTAGACAAGGACGATATGCACATAACAGTTTGGGCAATTACTAGAGTGCTAACTTGTAATTACGACCGTGATCAAGATAAATTCGTCTAAAAATGAGTGATCCCAACATGATCGCATATTAATTAGGAGACTGTCAGTACATAAAAGTGAGAGAAAAAAAAAGTCACTAATTAATAATAGCTCTCACGAGAATAGCTAGTTATGACCAACAAACCTGACACTAGCGTGTTTAACGTCTGAGTGGCATAGATGTTGGTAAGGGTTCTTTTACATATATAGGTGTGCTATGTTTTGTTTACTAGGATCAGTATTGAAACATAGTTGATTGGATATCAACTGCCTGTTGAAGAAACACGAGTGTAAACGTCGTCCTCTACACTTGTGTTTCTACAACAGGCAGTTGATATCCAATCAACCAAGTTCCTTCATGAATGCTCTGCCTAAACACTCTATCAAAGAATCGGTGTTATGTACTGAGATCAGTGTTATGAGCTATGTTTCGTGTAGTGAGATCAGTGGTGATTATGTACTGCATTCCGTGTACTGAGATCAGTGTTATGAGCTATGTTTCGCGTACTAAGATCGGTGTTGATTATGTACTGCATTCCGTGTACTAAGGCCAGTGTTATGAGCTATGTTTCGTGTACTGAGATCAGTGTTGATTATGTACTACATTCCGTGTACTGAGATCAGTGTTATGAGCTATGTTTCGCGTACTAAGATCGGTGTTGATTATGTACTGCATTCCGTGTACTAAGGTCAGTGTTATGAGCTATGTTTCGTGTACTAAGATCAGTGGTGATTATGTACTGCATTCCGTGTACTAAGGTCAGTGTTATGAGCTATGTTTCGTGTACTGAGATCAGTGTTATGAGCTATGTTTCGTGTACTAAGGTCAGTGTTATGAGCTATGTTTCGTGTACTAAGGTCAGTGTTGATTATGTACTGCATTCCGTGTACTGAGATCAGTGTTATGAGCTATGTTTCGTGTACTAAGGTCAGTGTTATGAGCTATGTTTCGTGTACTGAGATCAGTGTTGATTATGAGGAAAGTATTTGAAAAGCTATGATTTTCTAGTGGTGATAATCGAACTATCAGAATAGAATTTAAGTACTTTTAATACTTGTCTCAACGCAATAGTTTACTAAAAGTTTCAGCTGTGATGAAGAGAAACTTTTTGTTTTGAAATTATCGCTACACAGTTATCCCAGTTTTTTTTAATTCCTACGTTAACACTTTCAACTGTAAAAAACTTCGCGAGTTACGTTCAGTGTACTAAGTTTTACTGCACTAGCAAAATTAGCTTGGCGAGCTTTGGCAGTGAGCCAAATTCCTTAATCACGGTGGTTTGACTTGTTTGGAATTTCGCACAAAACTACTCGAGGGCTATCTGCGCTAGCCGTCCCTGATTTTAGTAGTTATAGACTACAGGGGAGGTAGCTAGTCAACACCACCCGCTGCTAGCTCTTGGGCTACTCTTTTACCAATGAATAGTGGGATTGACCGTCACATTATAACGCCTTCACGGCTGAAAAGGCGAGCATGTTCGGTGACGGAGATTCGAACCCACGAGCCTCATATTGCAGTCTTAAATACAAGCCATACCAGGCCATATTACTATGGTTTACAGCAGACACACATTGAGTAGCCTGGAAACCCTGTGTCCATATCGAACCGTGGACCTCTCGCAAGCCAGACACGTGATCTACCAGCTGAGCCAAAGAGTTATTAACCCACTACTAGAACTTGCTAGTCAAATTACTACATTCTTCTCATGTTACAAACAAAGCTCGTTTCGGGACTTATTTCAGGATTGTGGGACGACCAATAGTTAGACGTAGGTTTCTGTAGTAGCCTTAATATTTTTTATTATTATTATTATTTCATTGGGTTCGAGTCGAATGACAAGGGGCCAGCTGTTGAATATGGAAGACAAAATTAAGAACAAATAATTATTGTCTGTACCACTGCTACAGGTATAAGTAGTTATATGCACTTTTTATATCTAATATCAGAAACTATATAATATCTAGTTGATGAATGTACTACATATATTTGAAAGTTCGAGAATGACGTGGCGTGATACTAGTCACGTGACCTCGATGTCGTAACTATATAATATCTAGTTGATGAATGTCCTACATATATTTGGAAGTTTGTAAAGCATCACTCTATACACGTTGGACGTTGTACATGTATTTTTATACTCGATACAATTTGAAACTAGTGGTGTTAAAATATAATTAACTTAGAAATACTATTTGAAAAACTGTGGTAAGATCTAGGTATAGTATGTCGTTGAACAGATCCTC